AAAAAAAAAAATAAAAAAAAAGCGAAAAACCAAAATAAACACTGCAGTTTCTTTTTAGGATAGATGCAAAATGCCAGAACCATTTGCAACAAAATTAGCGTTAAATAAAAAGTCAGTTACTTTTTTAGGATCAAGAGAACTCTAAAATCATCCTCCGAGAACGAAAAACGTAATAGATATGGATAAAAAGATGGGAAATTTAGCCCGAAAATTAAAGAAAAAACACATAAAATTCAAAATTCCCACTTTGCTAAAATATTGCTGAAAATTATCTTTAAAACGCTCAACTGCATCAGTAAAAGAGCAACTTATAAGGAATTCGATGGCTGTCATATTACGAAAACTATCAAGGCCGTCAGGCCGGAAGAACGGTGATTGAAACCCCATGCTAGTAGCGTTACGAGGAAGCTTTCACAAGTGGGGTGCAACGGTAGTTCCTGTCATAAATTTATTCATAAGTAATTTATTAGCCTGAAGCAACTCAATTATGAGCTGTAATAAATCGAAAAAGTGGCAATGCATTTTTCGAGTAAATTTGAGGAAAACCAGCTGAAAGTTCGCAAACACTTTTTAACTTCATTTTTTCGGAAGATTGGGGTTACAGTGATTAATTTAATTTAACGACTCCTGAAAGAATTTCATTACCAGAATCTGAAAATTTTTTTTAAAAAAAATTTTTTTCGCCTAAATTCGCGGAATTCATAAAATGCGCAGTTCTTAGTGATTTTTTAGTAGGATCTGTTGCGTCCGAAACAATTTAAGGGATACTGAAAACCTCTTGACAATATGCAATCTCGCTCTTTAACAGTGATGCAAAAACACATGATATTACGTGTCCTACTGAAATGCTACCGCGGTGTCCTTTACCTTTTCTTTCCGAATTGCTTCTTCAGGAAAACCCTAGCTGTACGGCTAGTCCTAGTTAGAAATAATACTATATTTGCTAGCTTCAGCCATAACTCATCTTATGCGGCGATCTTGGTGCCAGTCATTTCGGTTTTTTTTTCAGGCTGCAAAGATTTGTTATGAAAACGACAAAAAATTAAGTTGAATCGACGCTCTAAAAGAGATTTCCCTAAAAGTAGAAAAGTTTTCGAAGAATTACTTCATAAATTTTGCCGAAGTACCGAGCTCGCCGGTCGTTCACTTCTCGCTGCTCGTTTTCTTCACCTGCGTCATATTCACTGCGCGACACGAATCCATCGCCTTTAATGCATTGTCTCTCAGAGCTATTCCACAGTTCTAACATTTTTTTTAATTGCCTTTTCACGAATTATCTAGACAATTTACAAGTGACATGTGTTTGAAAGAAAATAAAAGACTACTCTAGTAATAGGTGGAGAAATGGTACACACATACATAGAATAGGGAAGGGGGCTAACTGAAAGTGTACAGCCTAGGATCGAAAAGCCTAGCATAGCTACGCTCAGCGTATGAGTGCACAACATCACTCTGACATTCCATATCCACACTGATAGCCGAGTTGTCTTGGTATTTTTGATATGTGGACCCGCAAGTTTGCGTCATTTACTGGGGTTTCTTTGAAATTTGGAATGCTTTCAAAGTTCGGAATTTGAAAAAGGAATGTATTAAGAGAAGTACGAATGACGAACGATTGATGTCACGCTGCTTGAATTCTGCTCTCTTCACATTCACATAGGGCAGTTCCAAATGCAGGTACTCGTCAAACGACAGTTTGTTGTCGTGATTTTTATCCGACCGCGAGAAACTCTCTGCTGTAAGCATAATCAATTTAACAAAGTTATTTGTCAAATACTAAATTTAATTAAGCTTCAGGAAGTCAAAAATATGGCTGTAATTTGAAGAATTTACCTCTCTAAAGTTCCAAAATGGCAAATGCATTACTAAGTGAAAACGAACAGTTCGCTAAATTTAAAACGAATTTTAAAAAGGTGAAAAATTTTTTATGAAAATTTTCTAAAAGAACTGAACAGGAGCATAGGATCGAGGGTTAATGAGTAGTGACAACAATGCTTAGAACAATACCAAAAATAACAAAATCGTCTTGACAGTCGGTGAAGATATCCTATGTTAGTGATGTTAATTGGATGGTCTTATACGTCAGCTTTGAATGTGCCAGGCCCATTCATTTTGGAAATGGCCATTCAGCACTGATTAAGCATTCAAATTTCGATGCATTTCCAGCAGAGACCGTTACTGTTTTGAAATTAACATTCAAAGTGGGCAGTAGAGGTGTAGAATTTTTTATAATGGAAAGGGCAGTCTTCGTTTCAAAAACGCAACGGCGACGAAGCCAGTTTTAACATTTGAATAATGAAGAAAAGGGTAATGAAAAAAACGCAAACTTTTTGAAAAATTACTTTTTTTTCAATTAAATAGCGAAATTTCAGTGCCCTCATCCAAAAAACATCACTCCCTCTTTCGTCCTAACTTCCCCTTCTGACACTGACAGCACACATATACTTGCACCGAAAAATTTGTCTACAAACGTATGCGTGATGAACATGTATAAACATGCACTTCCCATCTCTGAAACACAGACAGAAAGAAAGAGAGAGTAAGAGAGAAAGAGAGATGTGAGCTGTTGCTGGATTCTGGTCCTACGCAGATTTGGAGGCTAATTCAAGAATTTGAACTTCCTAATCTTTATGGTCTCGGATTTTCCGAACAGACCCAATAAAACACAGGAAGGAAGAGAGAGGGCGACAAAGACATGATTGTGTTGAAAGTGCATGATCGCATCATAATATTTACAATCCTGGCTGGAAAGCACCAAACTTGCCGGCGCAGTCATACGTTTTTGCACTAAACTTTAAGCAGTCAGGTCATTAGCTGTGTGAATGATTGCTGCTTTACATTTGCCTTGTGTATTCATAAGCGTCAGCCATCGCATATTTTGCACAAAGGGAAATGAACAATTTCCATTTAACATTCGTTCTTTGAAAATGATCTAATTGTTCAGTAAGCAATTTTCCCGTCAAAACTTTACGCGCCCATACGATAGAATCACGCGCGTTGAGGCTAAATCTGAATTCTCCTTTCAGTTGTACTTGGACAGGGAACATTCCCTTGAAATTTCAGCCTTCCATTTTTTTTTCTCGCTCCAAAGCTAGCAATTTTTCTGCCAAAACTTCCACGTGCTAATAAACGACGCTAAAAAATGAGTGAAGGTTGATACTGCGTTCTTGGAGTGGCACCAGCCGGTGAACCCAGAGGCAAAATTTCAGAGTCAGAGCTTGCTTGGTCCAGATTGAAATATCCGAACAGATGCATATACACAAACATATATATATATA